TTTTTGATTGCTTTTGCAGCCCAATGTCTTCTGACTAAAACATAGGGTTTGTAGGATTTATTCCATTATCTGTAATCGTCTCTAACTGGTTTTTCTGTAGGGGAGATTTGCCATCATTTTGTCAAATTAATAATATCAGAATATTTGAAATGTTAGGTTTTTCAGTTTTTTAGAAAAAGAAATCTGTGAATCTTAAATTTTTTTCATTACTTTTTTTCATATATATCAAATCAAGTTAGAATGTTTCTTGATTTTTAAAAGACATATATGGTCAGTTATGGTAATAGTTGTCACTTGCCACTGAACAGTAGTAAAAAAAATTTGTGAAATGCTTAAATATTGCTGAATAAAAGCATCATGACAAATTCATTGATACTAATTATTTAATGTAGATATCACCATTTTAAGAAAAGAATATACATGATTGATTAAATAGGTTATATTGTAAAATATATTATTAACTTGCCTGTTTATTTGAACTGATTGCTATCATGATAATAATACTGCCTTTTGTAATTTTTACTGGCCAATTTTTAATATGAGAATTTCCATATGTAAGCTGTTACCTTAAAAGAGTACTAAAAACTCTTTGATCTATACCGATAGCCATTTTTAATTAAAATAGTATGTTTTTCTTCCGTCTATAAATAATGTTTTCAGATATCTGACTCTGTGAAAAGGAAAAGGTTACCTAAAACTTAATTTTTTCACAGACAGAAAAAGCAAAATAGAGAGGCCAGCAAGTATTCCTCTGTCCTCTGGCTATAGTACGGCATCATCAGATTCAACTCCCAGAACCTCTACCATTAATTACTGTGGTTTGAATGAGATTTCAGAGGTAAGAAAATGCTTAGATTATTTTCTTTCTAAATTAGGAAAACAAGCAAGCATTAGTTTTAGTTCTATATATTGCTGGCAAGAAAAATAGCAAATCTTAGTGTCTCAAATTCTTTCTTAAGTAAACAGTACTTAGTGCAATGTTTTAGACTGTATTTTATACATTCTGGGTCCATCTTTGATGATGGTTTACTTTGAGAAATCACCTAAATTTTTTGCTTTTTAAATTAAAGGAAACAACAATCCAGAAAATGGAAAGGATGAAAAAAATGTAAGTAACAGAAAGGGGCAACAGAAATTTATTTCTCTATAGGGAATTGTACTGGATTACAGTACATATAGAATGTGCATGTGTGTTTCAAACCTTAAAGGTCTCTCTATCAGGTGTGGAATTTCCTTCAGGACTCCATTGGATAGTAAATTCACCCACAGTTATGTGTTTGTGAGATGAGTCACTGTTTTACTTTTCAACAAGTGATGTAAAACTTGTTGGAATTGTTAATGGAATTAACTGCAGATTAGAGTACAGAGATATTTTTGGTTGGAAACTAATCAAGGGTAGTTTTACCTATTTTTGATAGCTGATTTATCAGAATATTAAATAATATATGTAGATGGTTGGTTTGGAGACTTTCACTATTGTGAAAATATCACTGATGTTTTTTGGCAAGTTATTGATATGATACTAAAAATGATGTTTTTATCTAGTACAAATGATGTGAGTTTTCTAAAGAGCAGTTCAAAGGAAATATAAAGCGAAATTGCATGTAAGATGATTATGCAGCCTACTACTTTAGAAAATTATAATATTCTTTTGAAATGCAAAAAGTATTTAAATAACTTACACTCTAAGAATACAAGACTCATAATTGACTCTTGTTTTTCCTCCCTCTGGACACAGTTTATTCATAGTAACTGTACTTATAGATAAGAAAAATATTCAAATTTATTTTAGCTTAAAAAGCATAATTTCAGTAACTAAAATGCTGTGCTTTATTGTGAATTATTGATTTATTTAATACATTATCTGTCTGTTATATTTCAGGTTTGAAGAAACTGCAGAGTTACTGAAATGTTCAAATCGCTAATTGTAGGATTTTCTACATTAACTCTAGGACTTCGGTTACTGTATATGTTGTATATTTTAAGAATTCTTTCTACAATTTTAATATGCTGCAACATTTTTGACAATTTCGATTTCATTTGGTCTATGAATTTTTTCATTCATTATTGAATAAATCGTGTAATATTTTTGAGCAATGATTATGCTACTTTACCTTGTGTCACTTTTTCTTTTTTTTTTAGGAAAAACTCATGTTCCAGTATATTTCACTTATACAGAGTGAAGTCATTACAGCACTGTATTTTTGTGTTGACATTTGTTGGCAGTGTGCTAACTAATGTTTTTTAAACAACAAGCTTGAGAACTATGGTTTACATCCTATTGGAAACATTCCGGTTGGAACTTGCATGTTATACCCAGGAGGCTCTCAGATATACCATCTTGCCATGTGTACTGATGAATAAGTTATAATGAATAGTTAAAAATGCTCATTGAAAATTAAACAAGAAGACAGCTATTTCATGCTTAGTCAAAAATGGCAATACCTTTCCAATTAACACTGAGAAATTAAGGTTAAGATTCTCCTTTTGTGCTAGGTAACAGGTCTCAAGGTTCACCATAAGAAACATGTTGAACATTGTAGTGCTCTGTCGTGTAACACTTCTTGTTTTTTTGAGATGGAGTTTCGCTCTTATTGCCCAGGCTGGAGTGCAAGGGCAGATCTTAGCTCACCACAACCTGTACCTCCCGGGTTCAGGTGATTCTCCTGCCTCAGCCTCCTGGGTAGCTGGGATTACAGGCATGCACCACCACTCCCAGCTAACTTTGTATTTTTTAGTAGAGACAGGGTTTCTCCATGTTGATCAGGCTCATCTCGAGCTCCCAACCTCAGGTGACCTGCTTGCCTCGGTCTCCCAAAGTGCTGAGATTACAGGCGTGAGCCACCGCGCCCGGTTGTGTAACACTTTTTAAGACCAGTATAACAGAGAATGTAGTCATTCTAGCTGGCATTAAAAGATACACAGTGCGGTGTTTTGTTTTTTTAAAATGATCAAAAATTATACATTTGTTTGAGAGAAAAAAAGCCTTAGCTGAAGTTAAATCAATGGAAAAATGAAATTTATTTTTAATATTACTATATAAATTATATTTTTAAAAATTTAATAGATAAAAGTGTAACAGTCCCAGAAAATCCTCAAGAAAATTGACTTTATTATTTGGAAGGAAAAAGAGTATTTTATTTTTTATTATATGGATCATCTAATTATATTTTATTTATTCATCTATTTATGGTAGAGATGTATCATTCTGTATTTCACTGTCAAATGTAAAATATTGTTATGAGTAGAAATCACTTAAAAATGTATTTTTGTTTTTGTAAATTTGAAACAGCTTAAGAAATCACTTTTAAGAAAGCACTTTTGGTATTTTTTTTTTTTTTTTTTTTTTTCAATCGGGCTAAGATCGTATATTATGTTTCACTTTTATGGTTAGGATTATTTTCTGTTCAACTGAAAATACTCCACTTAGAATTGCTTGTTTTTCTTTTTTTTGTTTGTGATATCCTTTAGGTCAGATACACTTTATTGTTTTTGTGTTTTTTTTTCTTTTTCAGATAGGGTCTCACTCTTTTGCCCTGGCTGGAGTGCAGTGGCATGATCTCCGTTCACTGCAACCTCCACCTCCCAAGTTCAAGCGAAGTCTCGTGCCTCAGCTTCCTAAGTAGCTGGGACTATAAGCTTGTACCACCATGCCCGGCTAATTTATTTATTTTTGTAGAGACAGGATTTCACCATGTTGCTCAGTCTGTTCTCGAACTGAGCTAAAGCTACCTGCCTGCCTCAACTTCCCAAAGTGTTAGGATTACAGGCGTGAGTCACAATGCCTGGCCGCATTTTTAGTATTCTAAGAAACATTTGATCATCAGACTTTAAAGTGAAATTTTCTGTTAGCCCACAGAAACATACAATTTCGAATTTAACAGAATTTCAGTAAATATTTCCAGAATTAATGAAGCCTTTTAGGTTTATTTTTTTTCAATTGCCAGAGAAGTACATTTATAAAAAATAAGAGATTATGGTTATAAGGTAAAAAACTGTTATCGGCCGGGCGCGGTGGCTCACGCCTGTAATCCCAGCACTTTGGGAGGCCGAGGCGGGTGGATCACGAGG